AGTGTTGTTTGAAATAGACCCATGCATGTATGAACGTGAATTTTAGTAGCAAGCAGTATGCTTTAGATTTACCCTTTCATATATACGAAGGTGCTTCACAAAGTTCATGTAAAATTGAATAAAAAGATAATGGAATTTTTTTCATGAACTTTTTGGAAGCCCCTTTATATGTTTATGTACACATTTGCTATATACTGACAACCCTCTTTCATGGATTTTATTTTCATTGGTCCCATTTTCAAATTATGTATTTTTCTTGTATACATGTCTGTCTGTTCATCTCCCCTATGAAAATGTAGTCTCCAGGGGGCCATGGGGTCAGGGTCTCTGTTGATCTTGTTGTCCACTGTCTTCTCTTGCCTAGAACATGGTATGTAGTAGTATTTGTTCAGCTATGACATACCTGGAGCTTTCACACCGGCAAGCCCAAGACAGAAAGACCCAGCTCTCCAGCCCTTCGGGGAGAGCATGGCAAAAGCTGAGACGGAGGCTGCTGGGAAGCCACCTGTGCAGCTCTCTGACTCACTGCTGTTGGAACGAGCGCTCAGCTTCTTCATTAAGCCATCACGTGGCAGTGCTGGATGGTGTCTTCTTTTCTTCTCTAGGCACATCGTTCCCCTCTTTTGTTTGCTGGTGTTACAGGTGCTACACTTTAAAACATAATATTTTTTTAAAATCACCCTCAAACCTAGCTAACATGCCATTGCTCTGGAACTGGCCACCCATGTGCCTTGCCTCCACCGTTTCTGCCAGCTGTTGACTGCTACTCCGAAGTCTAAGATGCTACCCCGATGACAGCCCCTCCACCCAGGTGTCTCAAAGGAGGACCCAACAGGTGGGGCAGAGGAGAGAACTGGGGGCACCACCAAGGGGCTGACTGGCAGAACTCGTCAGGGTGCCTACTTGGACTTAGGAGTAGGACTCTCGTACATTGCTGTCTCGGGTAGAAAGCAGTGTGCTCTCCGTGGAGAAACATTTGGCAATGATCTGAGAAATCGACACAGAGGTCCGAAGGCAAAGACACGAAAAGACATATGCATATGGCGGCCAAATTTTTAATAGGAAAGAGCCGGAAATGATCCATCTGTCAATCAAGATGCTGAGTCAACAACACTGTGCTCTCCTTGTGTGCAGTTTCTAACGGACGGGATTCTATGCAGTTCTAAAAATACACTGCTGACCAGATAGGGAAAACAAAAGAATGCTAACCAAAAAGAAACAACAAGGCCAAGGTCAAGAATGTGTGAACTTGTATGCTATGTTTTATTATTATTAAATCGAAGGTAAATGGAAACAAAAATTGTTCACTTAGAGCAGGAGGAAATGGGATCCAGCTGGGCTAGAAGACAAGCCTTCTGGATGGGCGTGGCTATGTGACTGACTTCGGGACTGTATAAAGATTTTACAAAATGATAAGATGAAAATTTCCAAATAATCTATAAAAATTTCAGCAAAAATCCACAATCTTGATTCTAGTTTGGGGCATAATGACAGAGCGAGGTACTAGTCTGACTATAGGATAGTAATTTGATTACATATCCCTAGTGGCCTAACCATGAGGACAAAATTAATAGTAAAAGAAAAATTTTAATAGTTTTCAGTAATCCATTTTTGTGGCACTGTTATACTGAGGATTAGGAGAGAAACACCTGTGATTATTTTGGTAATGTAAGAATGAGGTTTCTGAGATGATAGCAGATATAAGGTCAATGAGGTTAAATAGAAAAATACTGCAGTCCTGAGTTGAACTGGAAGTTTCAGTATAAATTATAAATTGAGTATAAATTCATGTAGTGTTTTATCATTTTCTTAGTTCTACCCAGTAATGTCAAGAAATAATGACCAAATCAATATCAATGACCATTCTTAGCACCTAGATTCAAACAAAAGCACTGCCTCATGGCCACGGAGTCGATGCTGACTCTCACTGACCCTACAGGACAGGGTAGAACGGCCCCTGTGCGTTTCTGAGACTGTAACTTTCATGTGAGTAGAAAACCCTTTCTCCAGGGGGTGACTGGTGGTTTCCAACTTCTTATTGCAGCCCCATATGTAACCACTGTGCCCCAGGGCTCCTTAGCACCCAGATTAGGTCTCTAGCTAGCATTTCCCACTAGAAGGAAGCAAGGATTCTTAGGGTTCCTGGCTGGATTCAAGGTTGAGACTCTGGCATCATGAATAAGATGAGCTTGATCTGCCTTATTAAGTAAATAGGAAACTCTCTGAAACTATGAGGCCCACATCAAAGGGAATCAGCCATTTGAAGTGGCTCTCAAGGGCCAGAGATAAGGTCGGTTTAAGCCATACTAAGAGCATTAACTGCCATAGATTGAAAAACATCAAATGTGTTTAAACTGTGAGTCCACACAAATATAATTGTTACTGGACATCTTTGAAGCATGCCAGGGAATAATCTCACTTTGAAAGCTGATCAATAAAGAAGAAAAAAGTCAAGAACTTATCCTTCCTTTCCTTTACAAACAAACCCTTAGGATAATCAGATAGTTGATGAAAAGGTGTCTATTAATAGAAGCCTGCAATCTCTAAAGAAGAAATGGGTCCGTGCAGATCGGTCCATGGCCTCAATGGCTCTGGCATGGCAAAAGAGAGACAAACAGACAGTATCTGCTTCCCACTAGAACCCATTACCACCAACAAAGGAATCTTAACAGCACGATGCTAACTGGAATTCATAGAAATTTTGAATTTGCAGGGAATAGAAAAACAAAACCCCAAATCACTGCCCTCAAGTCGATGTTGACTCATAGCAACCCTATAAGAAAGGGTAGAACTGCCCCCATGGGTCTCCAAGACTGCAAGGCTTTACAGTAGAAAACCTCATCTTTCTCCTGAGGAGCGGCTGGTCGTTTTTAACTGCTGACTTTGAGCCCAACGCATAGTGTGGCAGTTACATGATCTGGTGTCAACTTGCGAAGCGGTGGAGTATCTAGCCTGCCAATCAGATGACCTCATTTGAAGGTGCCTCAAAGATAGATAGCTCACTGGAGGCCAGATACACACAGATACTCTGCTTTATCTCCCCGGTGACAAGACTCATGGAGCTGGAGGAGCCATGTAGAGACCCCTGTTAATGCGGACATGCTTCCACTACCACTGGATCCACAAGACTTTCCACCCACTGGCCTGTGATCTTCCTGCATTCCATGTCATTGCATGTGTTGCGTGAGTCTGAAGAGGAATTTATAGATTGGTATCGGACATACGGGCTTATCTTGGACTTATGTACTTGATCTGGACTGGGCTGTTTCTTAATATACAATTGTTCATTAATATAAAGTTCTTTCTTATATACATGAGTGCCCATGGATTTGTTTCTCTAGTGTACCCAGACTAATACACATAGCATATTAAAAGATACCACAGAAGTGGACTAGGATAACTCAGCCTGTGAGAAATTCTACAAGACAAACCACCCCATGGTCAGTCTGTCTCTATCAGCGTTCTTCGAGTCCTTTTCTCCTGGAGACACATGCCAGACTATTGCAGATGAAACGACATGATGTCCAGGATCTGCTTCCAAATCAACAGGAGTTGGTGGGGTGGGAAGAGAACAAATACGACTGGCCAGGTGTTAATGATTATTGAAGGCTTGGGGACAGGAACAGGGGTTCATCGTTACATTCTCTCTACCTCTGAATGTTTGGAGCTACCTCTGAATGTTTGCATAATGGAAAGTTTTATTTCTTCCCGTTGCCCCCCCGCCCCCCACCCCAGATAACAATGAGCTACATTACGTGGACTAGCTTTTCTGCCCTAGCGCAGATTGGAGCTAAGAAAGGACAAAGAGCTGGTTTCGGTAGGGGACAGCAAGTAGTGAGGGGACGGGGAGCATATTACCCAGCCACTGTCCTTTAATAAGAGTGAGCTCCATGCAGACATACCTTCGTATGATAGTGTTCTGGGACTGGGGCTCAGAGGGTGGTTTTATACATGGAAAGTAGGTTTGATGTTTGCAATGTTGGCAATGTAATTTGTTGCTGTAGACTGGGCCACTTTGGCATCATTGCACTTAATACCATACATCAGTGTGGACGGGTCCCTGGCCGCAGAGACACCAAACCACTCTTCACCCTCGGGATTTAAGAGGCGTGTCCCTCCAAACCATCGCCCAGCCCACCCGTGAGTAAGAACCTCACTCTCAGGAGTACGGCCAGCCCCTTGGATTCTCCCACTGGCAGGCAACACAAGGGGTTGGGTGGCGTGTCGTGGATAATCTCTAATAAACTCCTAGAACCACCCAGCAAAGCAGTCTTGCGGGCCCTTGTCTGGTTGTTAAGGAGCTCTGGTGGCACCATAGTTAAATGCTTACCTGCTAACCACAGGGTCAGCAGTTCAAGCCTGCCAGTTGCTCTGCTGGAGAACATGTAGCAGTCTGTTTGAGTACACACTTACAGTCTTAGTCCAAGGGGACAGCTCTAATCTGTCTTGGAAGGTTTCTGAATTAGAATGTACTTGATGGCAGGGGGACTAGCTTTGGGGTTTTGCTCTGTTAGAGAGAAGACCGCTGAGCCCATGGGAAGAGAAGAAAAAATTCAAACAACTCTTGACCATGTCTTACTCTTTGATGAAATAGGACAAAGATAGGCGACCTCGATGTCCTTGACATAGAGTTTGATTATCAAACTGCCGACACATGTCCTTTAGCCCCATCTCATGCCAGGGAAACACAAAAACAATCCTAAAGAAAGCATGAGGGATGAAATCAAACCAACAGATGAGCATGCATTTAGATACTGAAGCTTCCTCAGGGCCCAGCAAGTTCTTTCTTGAGCTGTCCTCCACCCTACCCGACTCCTGGCCCCAGCCAGCGTTCGCACGTCTCGGTCCCTGGGAGGTAGGTCTCCCCCCACTACCACCCTTGGTTCTTCTATCAGAAGTAGCAGACCATGGAATTGAGGACAATTTGAGTATTTCTTTAAACTCTTTTATGGACAGAATTTGTCCTTCCTAGTCTCCCATAAGGCCAAGTCCAACTTCTATTGAGAGAACTACCCCAAATTCAGCCATTTATTTCAGGGTGTCCAGCTACAGCAGCAGAAGAGCCAGCTAGCCCCTCCTAGGAGGCAGGGGAGGGTCTGGTGCGCAGGGGGAGGCCAGGTGGGCAGGGAGGTGGAATCGACTATTTCTTCAGTTACAATACCAGGCTCTGACTTGAGATAGGATTTCTTCAAAGGGAAGTGCTTTGGGCAGAACTCACGTGAGTGTAGATTCCTTGGTTTGGGAGACTCGGTGGGGGCTCCAGACCCTCACGTGACTCCGAGGAGAGAGAGAAAGCACGCAGTCAAGAATGGGCTGGGCCACGGGAGGAACTCCACAGGCTCCACCACCTGCATGGGGGTGGGGGTGGGGATGCTGTGCCCTTGGCAGAACCACAGCCATTTCCAGACCATGTTGGAGGGCAGCAGTGCTTTGCAGGAGGCATGCGGGCCCTCTCCCACACACGCCCCAAGCCCTAACGCGTAAGGCCATTCCCACAGCATTTTGGAAAGCTGCCCATCCCCTGAGAAAAAGCTTTGAGAAAGTGAAAGAAACTATGGTGACAGCAGTTTGGGGGAGCTGTGGCCTTTCTGTGGCGGTACACAATGTCCTGGGACACCTCGGCAGGTGCAGGGCCAGGAGAGGAGAGATGTCAGCCACAGCCGGTGCCCACAGCAGTTTTGGGGGAAGAGAAATAAGCATAGAGCTCTAGCCCTGCCCCCGGTGCTCCAGGGACACCCTAGAAGTTATAGGGGGACACAAAGATGGTGACCTTGGAGACATGGTTAGCCTGAAAGGTGCGGTCCTGGTATTCTGACATGTCAACATCCACCTCCAGCGTCTGAGGCCCCTCCAGGGTTTGCACGAGGATCAGCTCCCCCGTCTGTCGGTCTGAGCGCTGCATCACAAAGTGGCCGTGGCTGTTGCCACCCACGATTCCAAACCGCAGGCTGCTGGGCCCGGGCCAGCCGGGTGGTGAGGCCGTGGCCATGCGGAAGAGCGTGATGGGCGTCTTCAGGTTGGAGGGCAGGGACAGGTAGTGGAAGGAGATGGTCTTGGGCAAATGGCGGCAGGGTCTGCTGTCCATAGGGCAGGGGTTTCTCTCACATTGGCTGGAGCAAAGAGGCAAAATGGAGGGAGTGGGCCTTGGAGAAAGCTCAGCAGGGCCTGCGCTGCCCTGGCTTGTCTCCCCACCTGTTCTCACAGGGCCACCCAGGTGACCTTCCCAGCCGTGGAAGCCCCCCACCACACAAGTTTCAGAGCTGGCAGCGTGTGAGGGTGGGTGGCATCGGGCATGGGCGGGGAAGGGGTGTCGCGTTCCTGGGGGCTGCTCTTGCCCACATGGCCCCAGTATTTCCAGGCACTTTGAGACCGAGCTGAAATTCTAGGTATGCATGTGTGACTGTGGACAAGGGGACTTCAAAAAGCTGGAAAGAATCTATTCTCTTTCAATTCCATTTTCCCACGAACTCTTTGAAGGCCCCTCGTATATAACGCTAGTGTTATAATCTTTACAGAAAAGCCACGCCCAGAAAGGTTGGCGAGCACTGGCCAGGCTGGCACTCAGGCCAGAGGTCTCATCTACGGGAACTGGGCACTCAGTGCGGGAGGACGCCCAGCAGTTCTCTGGCGGCAGCCTGCTACGTGGTTGTTCTGCATCGGTGAGCTTCCGGGAAAAAAAAGGAAAAAAAAAGTGTACTCCTACAGCAGGAAATTCTGCCTTCCTTAGCCATTTGGAATGAAGGTCATGTGAAAATGCTTTATTTGTCTGCTGCCACATCTGACTGTCCATCGGGGATGGAGCCCGGGGCTGTGTCCTGAAGGTCCCTTGCCTCTACTGTGTGACTGCTGAGAGGGCTTTTTGGTGGCGTCTCTCCGGCTTGTTGCAGGTAGTAGGGGTCATCAGGCTGCTTCGGAACTACTAGAATTCCCAAACGCAATTCAAAATGGCTAAGCTCGTGAAGTCAGTTCTCTGAATTCTGAGGCTCTCGTTCTCTTCCAGAACCTGGATGTGCTCTGTGGTAACTGCAGTGATTCCCTAGCGAGTCACATCTCTTTAAAAAACAAAACAAAATTCCAAACTCTATTTACAGTGTAAGCACTGACTCTGTGACCAGCTGAGCCTTCTAGTTTCACTGGAGAAGCCGAGTGACAGAATGCATGTAAAGTATATGGAATATTCCACCCACCTGGATGGAGCCTCATAGCCACTAGCTAGGTAAACTCAGAAGATTATTCTCACCTGAGTCGGTGTAATCTATACCCGCTTCCCGGGCTATTGGACTGATCTAGGTAATGTCACTTCAGTGACTCTCTCAAAGCGCCACCCAGGAATGGTTTCAATCCCATCATCCTCGATGTCAGCAGGGGAGGACACTTAATGCATCCGTGGCTCTTATTTCACCAGAGCAGCAATGCATTAAATGCAACCACAGAGAGAGAATGGAAATTCAGAGAAGCCAGACACCCAGCTAGCTCCCTGCTTCTCATCGGTCTTGGAAAATAATCCCTCCTTTCCCAGGAAGCTGCTGGAAGCATGGGTCCAGCTCCTAGGGAGGCTTGGTTCAGGGATGCCCAGATATACTCACAATGGGGATGTCTTCACATAGCTGCCATTGCTGTTGCCCTCAGGACACTCTGGGTTGACACATTGGAAGCTTCCCCCAGTGTTGATGCATATAGTCCCCTGGGGACACATGTGCTGTGAAGTCACACACTCATCGACATCTGAAATACAGAACACCCAACAAGAGTGACATTCCTCCTGAGTTTCCCTCCATGGCAGAAACACACCAACGTCCCCCTACAAGCACTGGCCTAGCCTGCACAGGGGAACGCCCCTCCCGGCACCTGCTCCTCCGGCCTTGGGGTATGAGAGATGACACGTGCTAGAGAGGATCGAACAGGTGCTACCCATGGGAGTCCCCTCTGCAGTCATTATCCCACTCTTCAGAATTCCAGTCTTCCTCCGGGAAGCCTTCCTGCCTCACACAGACATCCTCACACCATCTTCCCAGAAGCCCACTGCAGCCTCAAGTTGCAGGGCCTGGTTTGGGGTGACCAATAGGAGAGTCTGCTGCACCTTCAGGAAGTTGTTTCTTCTGATGGAGATTCAGAGTATCTGTGTGTACTAATACCTGTGTGCCCAATGGTGGAGTAGAGGTAATGGGAAGCTTCCACAAGTGAATAAACCAAAAAGAGGTAGTAAACCCCAAACCAACCCCCTGCAGGCAAGTCCGCTAGGACTCCTAGAGACTCACCATCATCAGTGAAGGCAACCCAAACCCTGGTGGAAGTGCTCCCCAAACACTCCATACTATTTGAGTGGGTGAGGCTCAGGGTAGGGCTTCTTGTGAAAGATTAGCGTGTCTGGGGGCAATGGAGGTTCACGATAGACTTACCCATTCCACCGGGAGACCTGGGTTCTCTTCCCAGGCAATGCCCCTGATGCACAGCCACCTCCCACCTGTCCGGGGAGACTTGAGTGGTGCTGTGAGAGGGCACGGGTTCCAGAGTAACAAGGACTCGGGACAAACGTCTTTCATCCCATTGTGCACAGTCGACGTGAATCAGGGCTGATGCATTAAGAGTGCCACATGTCCCCAGGACTTGCCTGCTGGTGATGATGGTGACTGCGGGGAGGGTCCTGCAACTTCAGCCTCTCTGGTCTACCAACAGCCAGTAATTTCTGCTGGCAACAGCCCCTACCTCCTCCCCATCCCCACCCCCCATCCCTCTCCCAGCCCTGCTCGGCTCAGCTCCCTAGGAGGTTCTGTGCTCTAGACTCCCCTGCTCTGGTTTCCAGTTGAGTTTGGCCCATGGGAGGTCTGGGGAGGCTGGAGTGTTGATTTCCTGCACCATCCCTGCCTGGATGTGGTGCTGGGAGTGGCTGTATCCTCCATGGTCACAGCTGTTTCAGGCAAGCCCTGCTCCCTGGCTCATCTGCCCCTCTCCTTCTCCTCCCCATTCAAACCCAGGGCTACTGATGGCTTCCCACTCTCGCGGTGCCTGGCTGCTTCCCTTCCCTTATTGGGAATTGTCCTCAGCCAGCTCTGCAATAGGATTAGCCCTGTGGAGCCAGACCACATCAAGGCACACATGTCTGAAGATACTGTCCCTTCCAGAGACATGAGTGTGCCGGTGGGAGCAGGGACAGAGTTTCAGGTGCCCACCAGCCAAGGCAAGATGCACCACACCCACAGAGCTGTATGCTGTCCTCTAGAGGGCACCATGTGGGCGAGTGACAGGCTGCTCAGCCCAGCTGAAGGCATTGCTGACGGGGCAGCCTGGGCCTGAGGAGGAAACATACTCACGGATGGTCTGAAGAAGACTGCGTGGGGATGGCTAGGCAACCTATCTCCTATTTATGCAGACGCCTTTGTAGCTTGGTCTTGGGGAAGTCCTTTTGAGTTTTTTGTTTGTTTTTTAGAGAAAACAGATTTGAGACCTTGACCTATCTACCCCCATTCGGAGGTCCCGGCAGGTCAAGGCAACAAGTGGCCACCTGGGCGATCGGTCGGTGTTCTCCCAGTCCCTACTGCCCGCCCATGCTGCAGGCTTACTCACCCTCACAGCTCTGCCCGTCAGCCAGGATATGGTACCCGCTGGGGCAGACGCAGTGGTAGGAGCCCGGGGTGTTGATGCAGGCGTGCATGCAGAGCTTCGGACGTCCCTCCTGCTTGTAGAGCTCACACTCATCCACATCTGGGGACAGAAGAGCCAGCTGTCACTCCAGGAGCCCTGCAGCGGGCACTGACACACCTATCAGCCTGGACAGCCACACCTGGCAGTGAGGAGCTAACAGCAGCTCTGCCTCAAGGGCTGCGCTAGGTGCAGCTCCGGAGCCTTTTCTCCAGCTTCAGGAAAGGCTGGTGTGTGCCCCTTTCTCCCAAGCCCAGGTGCCCACAGGATGAAGGGGAGGAGGGGGCTGTCACAGGACTGATAGACCCAGGCAGGCTCTGCTATCCTTGGCTGAAGACCAACTGGGGGGATGTTGCTGAGCATGGCAACATGTGCCTCGCACCCGGTGTCCACAGCCCCATCTGGTTTCTTCTGCTGCCAGACGCGATCATGGCACAGCTGGGCACTGTTGCGTTCTGTTTCATTCCGACATAGGGGCGCTTTGAGTCGCAGCCCACTTGCGAGCACCAAATGACATCACCACCTGAGTAACTGCGGGGTTGTGTGGGGAAGGCCCTTGGGTCCGTAAAGCTTAGCTGGGAGAGGACCAGGGAGTGAGGCCAGCCCGCCCCCTCCCACACACACACCCGGCCTGGTCCACTAGCACAGTGATTTAAGGTCCTCCCAGGGGGTTAAGGGTCCTGATGACTTCAGACAGAACAAACTGGTTGGTGGGGTCACTTTCGGGCACCCAGGTAACGCTGTTTCTCTATAGCAGTCTGCCTTTCTCATGACTCCCCCGACGTCTGCGCTCTGGGCTTCGCCACCAGAGGGGATCAACTTACCGAAAACGCAAGGTGGCTGAGGCTTTCGGAGACGGGGCGCCCCCCACCCCGGACGCCCGCCGCACCCTTGGCGTCCGCCGACCCGGAGCGCTCGCGGGGTGGGAACCTCCGCCCCCGCCCCGCCCCCGGCCCGCGGCGGGGCTGCGCCTACCCTGGCAGACGCTGTGGGCGGCGGCCGCGGCGCTCAGGTGGAATCCGGCTTCGCAGCTGCAGTGCTGCGCCCGCTCCACCTGCGCACAGCGCGGCGCGCGGCTGAAGGCGGGGTCGCCGGCCACGCGGCCCTCAGGGGCGGCTGCGGGGAGAAGACACCCTCAGTGCCGGTCCCGGTGCCACTGCCGCCCGACCTCGGGCCGGGGGTGGGGGGGAGAGCCAAGCTGGGGGCGCGGCCCCCTCGAAGGGCTGACTCAGGAGGGGGAACGAACGGAAAGCCGAGTGCTGGACCAGGAACCGAGCAGCGGGCGGGCGCCAACGGGGAGAGCACCGAATACGCGGCGCCTCCAACGCGGGGACGTGTTTCTGAACCAAAATTCATGTTACCACGAACCTTCTGAAGCCGACCCCTAGAATGTGTGTGTGTGTGTGTGTGTGTGTGTTTTACCCCTTTCTTTGAGAAAGTGTTCCCTTTTTAAAAAAATCAATTTATTGGGGGCTCGTACAATTCTTACCACAATCCATACATACATCCACTGTTTCTAGCACATTTGTACATTTGTTGCCCTCATCATTCTCAAACCCTTTTGTTTTTTATATCGAGAGAGCGTTACTTTCATAATCAAGGAAAAAGGTTCATTAAAAAAAGTTTTCCAAGTATTAAAAATCTCACATGGCTGGGAGAAATTCAGAAATCCCTCCCAGTGGGAAAAGGGGACTATAACTGGAGTCCACCAGCGAAGGTGCGAAGCTCAGGTGTGTCAGAGCCCTTGCTGGGAGGGTCAAAGCACAGGCTGACGTCAAGTGCACCTGCTTATTTGGCACAGTGGTTATGTGTTGGGCTGCTGTCTGCAAGGTCAGCAGTTTGAAACCACCAGGTGCTCCATGTTTGTAAGTTACTTAGACCACATCAAATCAACAAGTACTGCTCAAGAGTCTGTTCTCTCAGTTGTATAAGCCCCTAATAAAATGTTAAAAAAAAAAAAAATAGAGTCTGTTCTCTGTCCACTTCATAATCACCGGCACCTCCGCACCCAACAGAGATTGCACGGGGAGCGAAAGACCACCAAACAGGAGAGGGTGTTTTGGTTTGTTTGTTTGACAAAGGAACAGGGCATCATTTGCATGGAACTTTTTTAAAATAAAAAATATTGTATTACATTATAGTATGGGCATATAGGTTCCCTATCTCAGCCTGTATAAAACCAGTTACTGTGTAGCTTCTTAGACCTTCTGGCTAGCCTTCTGTTGGGACTCAGAACTTCACACGTGGATGAAAACCTTATCAGCTGACGTGACAGCCCTAAACCAATCTGCAGGTATTCCACTTGGATTAAGCCTCTGGTGAATCCCCTGTGACCATCGACGGGGATGTGAATAACCTTGCTAATAGACAGTGCATTGGAAATGACTAATGCAAATGTGGTTAGGTTACAATTGAACACCTTATCGTGCGCTCTCCTGTGGACCCATTTTTAATTTGTCCTAGATTTCATTATTTTCTATCTGATCAACTGAAGTCTTTCTGTTTCATTGCATTTTTTTCCCCCTTTTGACTTTGTATGTTTTTCTCTATCTGAGATCCAAGATAGGTAGGTAAATCTATAGAGACAGCAATTGAATGAATAGTGTCTGGGGTAGTGGCAGGGGTTGTAGGGAGCTAATACTAATGAGTCTAAGGAAGAAGAAAATGTTCCAAAATTGGTTGTGGTGATGATTGTACAACTTTTAATCATATGTTTTTAAACTATGCAACTGCATAATACGTGACTTATATGTCAATGAAGTGGTTGAAATAAAAAAACACACAAAAAAACAAAAACCAAAAACTATGTGCAATCCAAATAGCCTTGCTGTTCAGCTCTTGAAATGCTCTGGCCTGCGTCAATGGCTACTAAATGATGGAGACACTTGCAAGGAGAGGCTGTTCTGCTGGCAGAGGAGATGCTGACCAAGCAAAAGGTGGGCACAGTGACACTTCTCAGGCCCCATTCCCAATCTGAGGAGGTCTCAGAATGTGAGTCAGACCTTCCACCTCGTTTGCTTCCAGAAGGATCAAAACTCTGGCAGGCCTAGAGAGCGAAGGTCCCCTCCAAACCACCACCACAGGGTGCCAGGGTTTGGAAGGAGGGCTTCAGCTTCCTTTGGTGATTCGGGACTAAGGCCCCTCTCTCGCTGCAGCGTACCATCCTCTCCACCCCCCCCCCCCCCCCCAGCAGCAGCTCCATACCAGTCTGGGTCTGATGCTGACAGTGGCTCCCGGTCCTTCCCGGTGGACAGATGCACTTGTACTGGCTGCCTCCTTCGACACACGTCCCACCATGTTGACAAGGCTGGCTGGAGCACTCGCTGATGTCTAGGACAAGAAACACTTTTCAAAGGCCAGTAGGTGAGTTCTTGCTGCTCTATAAACACAACAGAACACTGTTGGATTCGCTTTCTTTACACTGTGCCTTCCACAGCCCGAGCTGCCCATTCTGCCTTCTCTACCAGCAAGTGCATGGCTGGCTAAGCCTGCCAGTCCGCAAGCCCAGTGTGTGTGAGCAGCCAATGGGGCTGAAATGCAGCCTGGCCTGCTCTCCGCAAGCCAAGTATCCTGGCACCACTGAGCCCACGCAGACCTCTGGGGCTGCCCCTTGGAAGAAAGATGAGGCTTTCTACTCCTGTAAAGGTGTACAACCTCAGAAACCACAGGGGCTGGTCTCCTCTAGCCTATAGGGGCGCTACGAGTCAGAATCGACTCAATGGTAGTGAGTGAGCGCTCTGAGGGCAGGAGCTTGCTTATCACCCAGCCATGTCCCACCCAGAGGGATCATTTTCTGCTGCAAGGGTGCTTTTAGGTAAACAGAGGCAACTACCTGAGCGCATCCACTCTCTTTGCCTTGGAGGCAGGCCCTCCTCCCTGTCAACTCTGCCTCCGCCAGCCAGCGCCGGGGGAGAGCACCTTTTCAACAGGAACACAATTCAGGGCAGTTATAAGGAGGAGGTGAACACCTCCCCGCCTCCAAAAACCCAATCCACTGCCATGCTGACTCATAGCGATCCTATAGGACAGGGTAGAACCATCCCTGTGAGTTTCCGAGGCTGTACCTGTTTATGGGAGTAGAAAGCCCTCTCTTTTTCCTTCAGGGTGGCTGGTAGTTTCAAACTTTGGACCTTTTGGATTGCAGCCCATTGGATATGTAAGGCCCATTGAATTGCCCAGAGCTGGTAAAAATTAAAACTCTCTCCCACCCAGGAGCCAATTTGTCCTTGACATTTTGAGGACAACCAGGTAGTAGTCGCTCTTGATCGTTACTGCTGGAAATGGGAAATGTTCCTTGCTTGTAACCAAGTCCTAGACAGACAAGCTAGACAGGCAGAGAGGCGTAGTTCATACGTGTGCCAGGCTTCTCTCTGAGCGGTAGATTCACAGATGATTCTCCCGTTTGTTTACACTTTAAAAAATAGTCTTCCGCAGTGAACATTTACATATTTTCCAACGAGGGCGCGGGGTGGAGGTGTTACTTTTTGAGAACTCTGAAGCCCTCCCTTTGCTGTAAAGAAGTCTCTCAGCACAATGTTATCAGGCCATTCCTACCAGAGACGTGAGGTTTGTCCGTTCACAGCATGTGGGGAAAGAAACTGAAAATACGTCCTTGTTGGCATAAGAACACACCCTTCCATGCTATCTCTCAACAAGAAAAAGGTGCTTTGTTCCAAAGGAGAATGACAGTTTGTTTGGAGTGGGTTGGCAGGGACTTCAACTTCCCTAATACTCCTCAGGACTGGAATGTTCTGTAGACAGTCAGGCGGTTCCAATAGAGCCCTGGTAGTGTAGTGGTTACAAGTTAGGCTGCTGACCACAAAATCAGCTGTTCGAAACCACCAGCCACTCTGTGAAAGATGAGGCTTTCTATACAGTCTCAGAAGCCACCGAGGCAGAGCTACCCTGTCCTGTAGGGTCCCTATGAGTCAGAATTGACTGGCTGGCAGTGAGTTGAGGGGCGGCCTTGGGAAGGTCCCATGTCAGTTTCATGAACCCTCACCCCCCTTTCCCTCTCCCAGTACAGCATGTGCTCATATGACTCATTTTCAGGAACAACACTGTACTCAAAAGCCAGAGCTCGGAATTCTCATTTCCAGGCCCACATTTCTAACCAGTAGAGTCTGAAAGTGGACAGACCAGTAGGGCGTGAAGTTGTTGGGCAGAGAGCCAAAGAGTGAACACCGGCATCGTTCAGTGTGGCCCAGTGGGCCCAGCACCATCACCTGTCCCCTGCTGGGCCTCAAGGGAAAGCCACTGAGTCTTGCTCGCACCTGACCTGGCTGGTGATCGGTAGGGGTGGAGGAGTGCCCTGGGAACCTGCATTCTCGCTCCCTCTCTCTATCCTATTGCCAGAGATGCTCATTTCTACACAGGTTCTCCAGAGACTTCACTTCTCATCTGGGGAAGCAACCAGGAGGGACTCTGGCTTTGATACCCTCTGTTTGGGCTTGAATTGTGTGGCCCCCAAATACGCATGGAAATTCTAGCTCTCCTGGTAGATGTGATCTTGTTCGGAAATAAGGATTTCTGTGCTATGTTCATGAGGCCATGCCTGCCTGAGGAGAGTGGGTTTTACATCTAATCATTTCTCAGTTATAGAAAAGCAGTGCAGACACAGTACACATTCGGGGTGGGGGTGACAGATCCATGTGAGGATCCTTGATAAGCCCAGGGAACAAAGATTGTCTAGAGACTAACCTACAAGGATTAAAATGGGCACGGTCAAGGTCCCGACTCAGCCCTTTAGTGTCCGGAACTGTAAGGACATAAATTTCCCTTCTTCAAAGCCACCGACTTGTAGTGTTTCTGTAACAGCAGCAGGGAGACTAAGGTGTGTCCTCTCACCTGCCATTTTCTCTAGCACTGTTTCAGCTCTGGATTTTCCCGTCAGATGTAAGCAAACGATTTCGACATGTTTCTCCCTCCGCACTTCCTGCCCCAAAGTCCTGGTTCTCCATGAGTCCTGGGGTTATCCCATTCACACCTGGACCAGCCAGGTGTTAAATTCAGAGCACAGCAACCTCAGCAGGCACTGGCAGAGGCTTGGGAGAGGCTGGCTCAAAGCATGGTGGGTAATTATCTACCATTTACTGAGCACTTGCCTGCCTCCTGGAAACCCAGGCCACTGTTTACAGGCAGGATCTGTTTTATGTTTTTCTTTATTTCTAATTTTTTCCTGTGTGCTGTCATCTCACACGTCAAGCTTTCCGTTTCTTCAAATCATCTCATTTCTGGGTTTTTCAAATTTTCACTTATGCGGTTCATTCTGGGTTTTTAATCTCCTTTCTCCTTTCGCCTGGTTTTGAAATACGCGTGGGCTTCGCTAAGGTTGTGGAAACATTCTGTTGGCTTTTCGTTTCGTTTTCCCACGAACTCTCTGAGGTCCCTCGTTCCAGGTCAGGGAGGGTTCCCGTGTTATCAGCCTGTGGTTCCGGCACTTCTTCACGGTCTGCAGGGCCCGTCTTCTCTTTTTTTTGCTTAAGGAGCTTGTACTGGACTTGACAATGATCCTTTTCTGCTATTCTAAGCGAAGTATAAGTTTCCCTGTACACTTGGGAAGGAGAGGTGGGCCAAAAGAGCTTTTCTAACGGCGAGACTCTAACTCTTCCCCTTCTCTCGCATTTCCAATGGGGTCAAAAACAGGGCTTCACAGCCTCTGAGCTCTGCCTCGTTGGCTCCCCTTGCACTTTTCCCTGGACCCTCTCTTTCAATGACGCCCATTTCTGTGTGCTGCCCAGCTTGATTTCCCTGCCATTGGTCTCCTCTTCAAGGCTTTGTCCTGGAAAGGAGCGTTGGCCTGTGGTTTCAAGGAGCCAGAAACTTCCTACTGGCACGGTGCTCCACACGCCGAGAAAACAGACCCAGAGAGGCAGTATGCCCTAGTGCTACTGGGTTTAAAAAAACAAAAGTCCTTTGGGCATACAGGCAACCAAAGATATTTATGATGGAAACAACCCCAGCAGTGAAAAATAGCAGACATAAAATCAACCTATTTAAGGTACTGAGGAAAGACCATGGGAGGCAGGTCTCGGATACCCATCGAATGGACATCCCACGGGACGGGCTGCAGACCGGCTCTTCGACGGTGCGGACCTGAGTGTCGCTCCCTGAGCCCTTCTGAAGGAATCGCTGGGGGGCGATGCTGGCCAAGGCGCCCGCCTCACAGGAAGAGGGGTGATCAACAGGACATATCCTGATAATACGGCCACCTTGCTAAAACCAACCCCCAAATGACCCTGAATCTGATCAAACTACTGGAGGCAAATACCAGTTATCAATGATTAATTCTGTTCAATGACTCCCCGGGGATGTAATGAGCAAAATCGAGGCTGTGGAAAATGTCCACAGGATAAGCAACCATTTTCTCCAGGTAAACTGCAAAAGAAAGACCCGTGGGGTGGTGGGGTGGGGGTGGGAAGCTAGAGAGCACGCTAGTGAGTGAGCAAGCCGGAGAGGAGGTTGTGGTTGTTCGCTAACATCACAGAGACTGCAGCTCACAGTGATGCCATGCCCAGAGGAGCCCGGCCCCTCGGCTTGTGGTGGCTGTCCTCTCTATGGGAAAGTCCACTTGTGGTGGCTGTCCTCTCTATGGGAAAGGCCACTTGTGGTGGCTGTCCTCTCTATGGGAAAGGCCAGCCAGCCTTTCTCTCACAGCCGCTGGCTGGGTTCCCATCTCCAGCATTTAAGTGATCAGCCAAGCTAAACCATTGGGCCTCCAGGGCTCCTCGGGACAAGACTGTTAGTTACGTAAGAGATATGTAGAAGACATCGCAGCCCCTTGTCATGTATGGACCTTGCTTTTTAGCCTGACTAATATTTGATGACATTAAGGAACTCACTGTGTCGGCAGTGATGGAACCAGAGCTGTGGGGACGTGGGGACGTGGCACTAGTGTCGCTACTTTCGTGGTTTGAAATTTTCCATGATGAGAAATGTTCTAGGATGTTTTTCTTGGCGTTATTTATAATAATGAAAACTATGGAATAATAGAGTTCAATAAAGTAAAGACTAGCCCTTAAGAAGCCATTAAAGCCAAACCTAGAGGGTAATAGAGCAACTCATGAACAGAGAGTTCTACAGTGCAGGCCCCAATCAGAGACAGACTGACCCCGCCCCCTTCCCCCAGAAGTATGTGCTACAGAGGACAACACTAAACCTGCAGGAGGTTGGGGAGAGGGGCCATCCTGCCATGCCCAGACAGAAGGAAAAAGAGAGAGATCAAGGGACTAGACCCCACACTGGCACACCACGCCCTGAGGGTGAGGGCCCTGCACAGAGATGCTAAAGCACAGAGAGGACTGTAGGGCTGACAACAGCTCAAGACATGATATCTCCTCACTGGAGTATACCGAGACAGAGGACAATACCAGGGACACATGGCAGGGAGTGAGTCTGGTCCGACCACACCCCACAGTGAAGCAAACCAGGAAGGGAACATAACAGATCATCAAGGGGAGCCAAGCCAAGCCACAAAGCCCCTGAGGAGCCCCCAAAATAGACTTCAGGCTGGGGGTGGGGACAGTTCCCCAAACCCCTCAGGCCCAGTGGGGAGATAGTCATAAAGATCAGTGGACAGACCTGGAATTATGTATGGGATTTTTTGTGATTTTTGGGCTAGTTTTTGTCATTTTTCTCTTTTTACTCAGTCTTTTGGTTTCTTTTTGCTTTGGCTCTGTTATTGTTGGTTTGCCTACCAATATAAGGCAGGCATGGGAAGCAAGCCTGAGGAGGGAGCAAGGGGACCAACAGTTCCAGAGGGACCTGGGGGGAGGACGAGGCAGGGGGAAGGGAGTGGTGAGCAAACAACACCATAGACAGGGGAACAACTAGGGAAATAAATTCAACAACAAGGAGGATGTAGAGATCCTGGGGATGTTGGAGCAACAGCAACCTAGCTGAGAGGAATTACTAAGGGGCAGAATGGTGAGTGTGATGGTAGGACAGAAGGAAGGTAAAAGGAACAGAGGAAAGATCTAGGAAGCAAAGTTATGGGTATATGTATAACATAGGTGTACACTTATATAAATATATCAACTCATAAAATAGAGGTATTGGTTTACGTACATATATCTATATGGCAATTTATTTAGGAAGTGGATGGACTTTAGGCCTCTGCTCAAGCCCTGCCTCAATGTAAGAACACTTTGTTCTAACAGCCTGGCATTCTGTGATGCTCACCCTCCTGATATGATTGCTGAAGACAAAATGGGTACACATGCAAATGTGGTGAAGAAAGCTGATGGTGCCCAGCTATCAAATGAAATAGTGTCTGATGTCTTAAAGGCTTGAAGTTAAGCAAGTGGTCATCTATCAGGGAAGCAACGAGCCTCTTGAAATGAACCTCCTGTAATGAAGATTGTCCCCTGCCCCTGCCTTAAGCACCGCACACACACTAGTGATGATAGGGGTGCTGATACAGACAATGAGATGGGTGCACTCAGAGGCAGCTGCTAAGAGTCTAGGGCCCCTCTTGAGGGAGCTACCGAATTGTTAAAACTCTAGCCCAGTGCCCTGCCCGCTCCCCTACTACTGTCAGGATTGGCCATCAAAAATGCGGATGGAAACTGTTTCTCCCTCTTCACAGGTTTGGCTGGCACCACTCGATGGCACTTCCTGAAGACAGCATCCATTAATCACATGAGCTCCTGCTGAGAATGGAAAGGCCAACACAGGCACAGTGTGCCGATGTGATGAGAGGTCAAGTAGAGCAGCTGGTTGAGAACGTTGGCTGTAAGAGACTAGTTTCCTTGTTCAGTCAAGACTGCAATGTGGACTCCGTGCTCAGATGACTCTTAAAGAAATCAAAAATCCATCTAAGACCCCATTGTGGGCTGGCAGCCTTCTTATTCCCTGGACGAACCCCGCCCAGGTTGGAGCTATTAAATGTGGCTCCCGTGGCACTCCTGGGTGAGCTGCTCCAGGCAGTCCTCTGGTGAGTGGTATGGGGTCTAATTCTGATGCCAAGGCAGATTTAGGTGAAGAGGAGAAGGGAGCCATGCCAAACTGCAATTCAAGTGTTGATTTGAGTTGAACCGTGCTCCCCTAAGATAGCTGGAAGGAGCCCTGGTGGTGCAGTGGGTATGTGTTTTGCTGTGAACCCCCAGGTCAGCAACTCAAAAACCAGCCACTGCATGGGAGAAAGACATGTTACAGTGTCAGAAACCCACATGCATAGTTCTACCCTGTCCTATAGGGTCGCTATGGGTCAGAATTGACTCGATGGTAATGAGTTTTTTATTTTGGGAAGATAGGTTGAAGTCCTTACCCCTAATACCTGTGAATGTGACCTTGTTTGCAAATAGGTCTTTGAAGACATTGTCGGTTAGTTAACCTGAGGCCATATTGAACTAGGGTGGGTCCTCATCCAATCTCAGTGGTGTCCTATGAAAAAGGAGGGGAGACAGAGAGAAGGAGTGATGTTTGTAGCTGTAAACCAAGGACTCTCTTTGGACTATGTGATGCTAAGTGGCTCTGTATCCCCCAATACTATGGTCCTGAGCCCCTGGTCTAGCAACTCACCTCTTCAGGGAGTTTGGTTATATCTATGAAGTATTCAAAAGATCTCTTTAAAAGGTTAAAACGCTAGGATGTTACTTGGAGGAAGAAGGTGTGCCTGGCCCAAGCCACAGTATTTTGTTTCACCTCATATGTCTGTGAAGGTTGGATGTTGACTAAGGAAGACCGAGGAATCTGAGTTTTGGTGCTGGAGAAGACTGTTGTACCACAGACCGCCAAAAGAGCAAAGGAATTTGTCTTGGAAGATGTACAACTGGAATGCTCCTCGGAGACAAGGCAGGGGAGACTTAGTCTCACATACACTGGACGTGTGGTCAGAAGAGACCAGTCCCTGGAGGAGGACGTCATGCTTGGGAAAGGGGCGGAGCAGCGAAAAGAGGAAGACCTGTGGCAGTGGAACTGATACAGTGGCTCCGTGGGTGAGCTAAACATGAGAATAAGTGTGAGGTCGGTGCAATGGGGCCGGGCCAGGCAGTGTTTCGGCCTGGGGTACACTGGTCACCATGAACCAGAACTGACTTGACGGCAGCTAGCCACTGCAGCAAGTATTCATAACGTTGGCCCTCGTGATCCGTCACCTTGAGGGGTAGATTGGCATCTGGAGCAAATACTCCGGTAAAATATCCTCTGTTAAACCCACATGTAGTCATGGGTATACGCACGCTCTCCCCTGTCACACCTGTTCAGCCAATGTCCAGACCTTCTTGCCTTAACTTCCGCAAGAGCCAGTCACAAATGTCCAGAGCAGAGTGAGGTGTAGAAGGGTGTCCGCAGACTCAGGAGTCAGAGTGTCCAGATGTAAATCCCAGTGCAGCCCAGCCCCTCCTGGCTGTGTGGTCTCCGGTTTCCCCGGATGTTAGAGACGACTAAACTGTTGTGAAGCTTAGCCAGCTCATGCCGTTATCAGTCAGGCTAGGGCCTGGCATGGAGAAAGTAAGTGAGCAGTCACGTTATGCCCTTGAGGAATCAGGCAGGACGTGGCCCCAAGGAATGACCCTTTCTCTGTACCAGAGCTGGCTGGGATGTGAAGAGTCCAGCCTAACAGGATGAGCAGAAGGGACGGTACCTTTACAGCGGGGCGGCTCCCCGGACCAGGTGCCATTGGGCAGGCACACCACACTGCTGGGCCCAACCAGCCAGAATCCAGGGTTGCAGGTAAAATGGACTTCGTGATCCACCAAGTACTTGCTTCCAAACTTTCTGCCATCCGGCGGAGCATTCAGAGCAGGGCAGGGAACTGGAAGGAGAAAGGGCAGGATTAGGCACCCCTCTGGGGCCACAGCCATTCAGACACCACTGCTAACTATAAGGCTTCTCACCTGTAAGCGGGCCCTACTGAGTGCCTGCTCCAGGCCAGGCACTGGAGATGCTGGCGCTCACTGAATCCTCCAAGCACTTTTGGGAATGGGCACGAGGTTCCCACTTAGTGAGAGATGAGGGGACCCCGGCTGGGTCACCGCGTGTTGTGCACAGGGCCTCCCGGTCTGTGAGGTCAGAGCTGGGACCTCCACGGACCCACCTGCCTCTTGCTCGGTATCCATGGTGCGCCAGTGGCTCGGGGTCTTGTTAGGTTTCCTGCAGGGGCCGGGCATAGCCGCACTGGCAGGCCTAGGTGTTTGCTCTTCTCTCTGCCTGGGATGAACTTCTCAAGGCAAGGTTCCTTCTCACCCTCCAGAGCTCCAGTCGAATGCCACCAGCTCCCAGGCCTGACTCAGCGCTCCGGGCCCTCACCCCTTCTTCTCGGGATTGATACCCACCAACCAACTGCCATCGAGTCAGTTCTGAATCGACCACTGGACCTATCTGTGTGAGTCTGAAGAGGGGTTTATGGACTAGTATTGGACTTACAGACTTGATTTGGACTGGGATGGGATGTTTTCTTCATATCCAATTACTCCTGGACACAAAGCTCTTTCTTACACATGCATGAGTGTCCCTGGATTTGTTTCTCTAGTCCACAGAGGGAACAGAGCTTTACAAAGGCCACTGAGAAGGAAGCAGACGGACATTTGGCAAGCGCTTTGTGTGATATGGACGTCATTCTGGGTTCTGAGGCAAGGCACAAGGTGGCCCAGCTTACATGTTAGCAGCATCCTTCCAGCTGCGGCTTGAGGCTGAAGAACGCAGAGCCCAGAACCCAGGGCCGAGGAAGGCAGCTCAGACCAGGGCGTGGCTGGGCGTGGAAAGAGGGAGTTAGGATTTCAGAGGTATCTTGAGGAAGAACAAGCAGGGCTTCCTGGTGGACTGCTGTGTCTTAGAGTGAAGAGGAGGAGAAGCCTTGCCATTTCTCTTCTATCTGCGGAAACTGTGGGCACATGGTCGGTGCTCAGTCAGTTTGTTTGAATGACTGAATGCCCCACATTGAGATAGGTCGGAGTTGGATTCAGTATAGTTGGAAACTCAGAACCACTTCCAAAACACGTTATAGTTCCGTCCCAAGTTTCATATGTAAAAACATCTGTAGGGTTTTACCCACTGACATGAGGGCCATTCTGACTCCTGGAGAAACCCCCCTGATCCAGGGTTTCTAAGGCCGTCAATCTTTATGGGAGCAGACAGCCTCGTTTTTCTTCTAGAGAGGCTGGTGGATTTGAACCACTGACCTTGCAGTTAGCAGCCCCATGCTTACTCAACAGTGCCACCACAACATGAAGTGCTTGCTTCCGCATGGTAGGCCACAGGAGCCTGGACTGGGATGAAGGTCGGAACCAATCCCTCCACGTACTCTCCTGGCCCTTGGTTCCTGGGGAATTTCTGACCAGTGTTGAATCACTTTCCCTTCATAACATTCTGTCTTGGAACCCAGTGGGAGAGTCCTGGTGAGAAGAAGCGAGTGTGGGCCCGACTCCCAACTCTTGGGTGCTCCTCGGTTGCTGTAAACAAATGGCCTCATGACTCGTTTTAAAAAATGTACTTAATTGCATCAAGAAGGATTTAAAACACTTTGAGGGTGAAGGGTAGGTAGAGTCTCTTGAGGAATGATAAATCTTTGACCTCAAAAAACCCCACAAAAACAAAACAAAAAAACATCAAACGACAATGTACCTGCTGGAGCCGCTCACAGATAAAACCTAGTAGATTAAGTGGTCATGACCCATGGAATATGCTCAATATATGTCAGTGGAATGGATGAACGAATGGGTTCAAGTCCATTAAAAATCCCTTTGCGGTGACATCCTAGACCGGAGCCAAAGGCCTGCGCTCCGGTGGGAAGAGGTGCCCCTGGACTGATTCATTCCCGTGGGGGTCCCTGGGAAGCTCAGCTTCCTTCCCCTGCTGGAACGAGGGTCATGTGTGAGCAATGCGACGGGCAGGTCAGCAAGCAGGAGATCTGGGAATGGGGCTACGCGCCTGCAGTCAAGCAGCTGCAATGCTCCCGGGAGAAAGGGGCTAGGAGTGCAGGTGGGAGATCCTCTCTCTAGAAGCCAGGAAGCAGAGGAGCAGCCCTTCCCAGTATGACAGGCTTCCTTCCCTCCCTAACTCCTAGCCAAGTGCCCTTTAAGAGCAAAGAGAAACAGATCCTTTCCCCACTATTTACAAGCTGACTTGGGACAGGTGTCAGGTGAGGAGGTTGTGACTGCTGCCCAGGTGGCACCTGGAGGCACAACATTGTGGTTTGCTGCTGTCAAGTTCCTTCGAGACTCAGGGCAGGTCCTGCACATCCTGGAGGTCAGCTGGGGCCAAACCATTTTATGCTCCAGAGAATTTTGGGCAGTAGGCTGCGTTTTGGAAGTAGATAGCTAGGCATCTCTTCCTGGTTCATCTTGGTCTGGAAGCTGCTACAACCTGCTCAGCGTCATCACAGTCACGGGCAAGTCTCCACTGACAGAAGAGGTGCATTGACCAGGAATTAAACCCCGGTCTTTGCAGGCAGAATTCTCCCACAGACCCACCGAAGCCTTCATGAGGAGGACACCTCTAGGGTGGTAAGTTTTCAAAAGAGAATTTACCAGTTTTTAAAATCCAACACTATTCAGGAAAGAAAGCCCCTGAACCTAGGCAGGAGAGGACCCATGACTGGCCCTGAGTCCTCCCTAACATGAAGGGACCCTGGTAGCGGAGGGGTTACGTGTTGGCCTGCTCATCATAAGGGCAGCCGTTCAAACTGCCCCTTGGGAGAAAGTGAGGCTCTCTGCTCCTGTATAGATTGACGGCCCACAGGGGCAGTTCTGGTCAGTCCTACTGGGCCACGATGAGTCGGCATGGACTCGAGGGCAGTGAGTTTGCTTTGGGGCTACCCTAGCACGAGGTGGCATGGTGGTTAAGTGCTCTGCTGCAAACTAACCCACCAAGCCCACCAGCCGCTCCGAGGGAGAACAAGGTGGCAGTTAACCACTATAGAGAAGAGCTCTGGACACCCTGGGTGGCAGTTCTGCCCGCTTCTGTAGGGGACTAAGAGCCACAGCCACAGTCGCAGGTGCCGGTGGGTTGGACCCTAGCTTCACAGGGCGATTGGATCAGTTACTCCCTGTGTGCTCTTCTGTGAAACCGCAGCTACCGCTGATGGGTCTGATCCTGGACCCAAACCGAGCACTCACTGTCTTCCGGGCGGATTTTTAACTCAGAGTGGCACTGCCCCAGAGGTTTCTGAGACTTGTCTTTACAGGAGTAGACCGGTTCATCTTTCTCCTGCAGAGTGGCTGGTGGATTCGAACCGGTGGGCCTTGTGGTCCGCAGCTCAACCCACTGCCCACGATACCACGTCTGTGTAATGACTGGCTAGCAGAAGCACTTCTCAGTCAGGGTCCCCCCGCTGCTGCTGCTGGCTCGCTTCTCTTGGCCTCAGCTTTCCCCTCTGTGGCAGGAAGGGAGGATGCCCGGCCTGCCTCACAGGGTTTGATGGATGGAGCCTCCTTGAGGCCTTGGACCTCACAGCCTCTTGGAGGGTGGACAAGAGGCTTGGCTGGGAGGTTTACTTCTGCCCCAGAGGCGCCAAGGGCAACAAGAGTGGACTCAGTGCTGTTGCGGCTCTGTGGCCTCTAACAAGGTGGGAGATTCCACTCTGTCGCCCCATACCACAAAAATGGCCCTTGGCAACGTGTCTGCAGTGGCTTGTACGGGTCCTGACTTAGAGCGAGCGCGATGACGTGCACCCAGCATGACCCTGCGGGGCGAGTGGAGGCAAACCCGCCGTAGGTCTCTGGGCCTTGGCAGTGGATAGAAACCATGACTGGGACAACCAGGGAGGCGGTGGTGCCCCAGTGTCTGCTGGAGCTTGGCTCCTGCAAGTGGGAGTCTGAGGCCCCCACTATAACCTCACCAGTCAAACTGAATCTGTCCGCAGCCCCTTCTCCGCACCCACACCGGTAATGATCGCGGCTCCTCACGGAGGACTTGTTCTCACGTCTGAGAACCGGAACTAACGGGGAGCCTATCTGGGTGGGCGCAGGGAAGGGAACGCGGCGTCTACTCTGAAAATTGTGCGTTTGGGCAAATGTTTAAAGGTTTCCGGACATGCACGGATGCACTTGAGTCGCGGTGCCAGCAAAGACCACCTCAAGTCCCCTCTGTCTGGGAAGAAGGACAGCCAGAATGCTCCTCAGAAGGGAGCGCGGCCAGACTTGGTGCTGTGTACTTTGGACACATGGTGAGGAGAGCCCAGTCCCTGAGAGGGACCTCATGTGTGGGTCGGTTGAAGATTGGGTAAAAGGAAGAAGACCCTTAACGAGATGGATTCACACAGTGGTTGCCAACAGTGGGCTCAAACACAAGTGTGGAACTGCTGCCGGACCGGGTGGTGTTTCCTTGGGTTGCCCACAGGGGTCGCTGTGAGTCAGAGCTGACCCGATGGCCACTTGGCAACAGCAACCACCCCACGTCAATCCACGTGGGCATGCTAACCGTTAAGCCCAGAATGCACACTTGTGCAAGGTCAGGGCGTGGCATCCAGACTGTGGGAGAGTAGAGAAGTCAGGCACTCATCCCTCCCACCCCTCTCCCCCACCCCCGGGGTCACAGACAAGGAGAGTCAGGGACAGGCCTGGGCTGTCCACTTCAAGACTAGGGGGCCCTGTGGGCCGAGTAGGAATGCAGGGAGAGCCTGAGGGTCTTGGGGAACCAGGGGCTGCTGGTTTGGGGACTTTGGGGACCCACCTGGGGGCGCGTCTGAGACCGCTTTGCTCACAGAGTTCTGCAGCGCCGCCAGCCGGCTCTTCATGTTGCGGATGCCCTGGGCGAAGCGGGTCTCCTGGCCCCTCAGCAGCTGCTGCAGCTGGCGGATGGCAGTGAGGAGCTGCTGCTTGTTGAAGCACTTCTGGGGAGAGGAAGGATCACAGGCTCAGCACGGACTAGCGGCTCACTGAGTGCGACGTCAGCGGCTCTGGTGGCACACACGGAAGCACTGCAGGGTGGGCAGCTCACGCTCACCCAGAAGTCAAGCCTGGCACTCTGCTTCCCACAACTACAGCCACTGCACGCCCTGCGGGCAGGTCTACCTCGGACACACTCGGGGCCATAAGTCAAGAGGGGACTCGGTGCCAAGTGGCCTAATTGAAGGGCAATGTGAATGACTTCCCTCCTTCTCCTGCTCTGGGCTTCTAGTTGGATGGGGACATCTGCTGAGTCAGGTCACCAAGTCACAAGGGGTCCAAGCACACACACTGGCGTCCTCGCGCACCCCCTCAACAAAAACAAAATCTCCCTTTCCAGGGAGCAGGGCGGAATAGATGATTCCGTGAGGGGGCCACTGAACAGTGATGTGGGTCCCAGTTGCCTTTGGACCCAGACCACCTGAAGTCCGTTATTTTCCAACACGTCCCTCATTCTTTCCACAAAGGCCCTGCAGTCCCCACTGTGGGGAACCTTTTCTCTCTTTCTCTCTTGATGTCTTAGACCAGTGGTTCTTAACCTTCCTAATGCCGCGACCCTTTCATACGGTTCCTCACGTTGTGGTGACCCCCACCCCCCAACCATAAAAGTATTTTCACTGCTACTTCATCATTGTCATTTTGCGACTGTTATGAATCCGGTGACCCCTGTGTGAAAGGGTCATTGGGCCCCAAGGGGTCGCGACCCACAGGTTGAGAACCGCTCACTGTCTTAACAGTAAGTGGATGCTAACACAGGACTGGTGCAACAAGAGTGGTTTCTATACTTAAGGTGACAGGAGAGAGAGGAAACGGATGACATTAATAGCGCTAAAGAACCGTTGGATGCGTTTCCACACCTGGCTGGTGGCTCTTCTAAAGTCATTAAGAACGGGGAGAAGTCGGAAAGCCCGGTGCTTCGCACGAGGAGCACCATCCGACAGAAGCCACGCAGCACAGCCTGTTTCAAGAAGACCTCCGGGCGTCCGGGAGTGAAGAGGGAGAAGGTGGCATCCTGGGGCCGTGCCAATGGCTAGTGTGCTGGGCTGCCAAGTGAAAGGTTGGCGATTCGAGTCCATCCAGATGCGCCTGGCTGGGGGAGGGGGAGGGGTGGGGTTTGATTTCTGAAACATCAGCCACCCGAAAACTCGATAAACCAAAACCAAAAACCCACGGCTATCGACTCAATGCCGACTGATGGCAACCCTACAGGACAGGGTAGAACTCTCCCTGTGGGTTTCCGAGACTGACCCTTGATGGGAGTAGAAAGCCTTCTCTTTCTCCCAGAGAGCGCTGGTGCTCTCAAACTGCTCACCTTGCAGTTTGCAGGCCAGTGCATAACCACGACGCCACCCCAGGCTCGTGTGAAAACCCTATCGTGCACAGTTCTATTCTGACGGGGGGCGGGGGAGACTCCCCTGGTTGGCGCTGCCTGTACTGGAGCTGTGGTTGTCCAGGAGGACAGAGGATGAACTGGGTAAGACAGGCTCGGTGATGGGGAAGTGGAGAATCTTTCCCTTCCTCTGAGAAGCTCTTCTGTGGTCCTGAGGGGCTGTGTGTTACACAGCAGAGCCTAGTCTACCCTGACTAATTGTACCTCAAGGCAGAGAGAGGGTGTGTTAATCCAGGTGGACTAAAGAAATTCATAGACACTCATATGTGTATAAAAAAGATCCCAGCCCAGTCCTGAGCAAATCCATAAGTCATATATTAGCCCATATGTCTGATACCAATTTTTAAATTCCTCCTCAGACTCATGTAACACGTGCAATGATGTGGAATGCAGGAAGATCCCAGGCCAGTGGGTGGAAAGTCTTGTGGATCCAGAGATGGTGGAAGCATCTCAGCATTGGCATGGGTCTCCACGTGGCTCCTCTAGCTCCAGGGCGCTGGCTGCCATCAGTGTGTCTCCACGTGGCTTGTCAACAGGAATATCTCGCAGGGAGACAAGCAGAGAGAGTGTGCGTGTCTGGCCTCCAGTGAGCTATTTATCTGTCATGCCTCCAAATGAGGTCATCAGGCTGTGACCTGATTGACAGGCTAGACTCCACCCCTGTGCGAGTTGACAGATTATGTAACTGCCACAGAAGGACATGATGGTTGGCTCCAAGGATAGGCTTTTAGATACTTTATTTTATTTTTACTTTTGAATTTTTCTACAATGTAGATTAGTTTTATCATGTAAAAATTCAGTAAAACCTGCCAAACTCAGAATTCATGCAAAGCAGGAACTTATAAGAGAAGGAAAACTCAAATATATTCCACTAGAACGAGTGATCACCACCCTATGAAAGGCTGAAAGCTGGAGAGCCCCGGAAAAGCCTGCAGCCAAAGGGAGTCCCGGCTCTCACGGGGGTCGCTGCCTTTCTAACAGCCTGAGGGGCATCTGTGGGGCGGGGAGGCACAGGGTCTAGGCTGCCTGGGTGGCTTCTGGACTTGCCAGTGGAAACAGCGTCCCTGCCGCTCTCCCAGGAAGGCTGCCAGGCCGCCTGCACCTTGGAGATTGCACCAAACATATGACTTCCTGATTCAACGATGCTTTTGACCAAGGGGATGAACCCCGAGTTGCCTCTGGAACTTGTTCATTCATGGGGACTCTGGCCTCTACTCTTACTAGGGTCTTCCTGGGCATGACCCCAAAAGAAAATGGTTGGGAAGAACGTTTTCTTTGCCTTCCTCCTTTCCCATTGTGTTCCTTCCCACCAAGGCATGGGCACCCAGGCAGGAACTTCCTGTAGACCCACCAGCGACCGGCACCCACCAACGCCCCTACCAGGCCTGCAATCCTACACTCACCGACCCCTTAAAATCAATAGATAGATGATAGCTAGAGAGATAGATAGCTAAAGAGATAGCTAGAGAGATAGATAGATAGATAGATAGATAGATAGATAGATAGATAGATAGACAGACAGACAGACAGACAGACAGATAGATAAATATTTGAAAGATAGAGCGAGCTGATTTCATATGGCACATGCTTTATGTGTAATTTCCACAGACAATCTTTAGCCTCTTGCTGGCAGCAGTTGGATACTGATGGGCACTGATGATTTGTGATTGTCTCCATTTCATAGATGAAGACCCAGAGCAAAGGGAGCAATCCCATCCCCCATGGGGTGCTGGAACCATTTAAAAATTAAAAACCTCTCACTGCCTTCAAGTCAATTCCAACAGAGCACCCTTGTGGGTCAGGGGGCAGCTGCTCCGTGTGGGTTTCTGAGGCTGTAACTCTTTTCTTTTTTTTTTTAAGCTTTTTCTCTCTGATGCTTCTGGCTTTGGGGCTGTGCATATTTTGTTTTTAATCATTTTATTAGGGGCTCATACGACTCTTATCACAATCCATACATACATCAATTGTGTAAAGCACATTTGTACATTCATTGCCCTCATCAGTCTCAAAACATTTGCTCTCCACTGAGGCTGTAACTCTTTACGGGAACAAAAAGCCTCATCTTTCTCCTGAGGTGGGGCTGGATTTGAAGCCCTGGCCAATGCGGTTCCTACTGCGTATGCAGTGCTCCTGGGAACCATCCAGGGGGCTGCAAAAGCATTACCTACATTTTATCCTGGATTTGGGGCTATCCTACCTAAGTTCTTAGTTGCCAGGCAGACACTGAAGTTTTTGTTTTTTCCTGAAAAGGGGGCAGTAGGTCAAATAAGTTTGGGAACCTGTAGCTTGGAGGCTGAATGCCAAGCGGCTTGCCCCCACACATGCCCCTCTGAGTGGGAGAGCGGGGCTGGGACCCTGCTCCCCGCCACCCCACCTGCTTTACGGATGCTGGTGTCTAATGCATGGCCTACGCCTGGTCTTTTCACACAACCCTGTGTGCTCAGCGATCTCCCTGACAAATTTGCATGGGGCACTGGTAACTGTAGGACTCAACCCATGTGCCCCACAGGCGTGGCACTGCGGAGTTCGGGATGGGGAGTCTGGGCAGGGGGCCGGGCAGAGTGGTGGTGGTAGGAAGTGGGAAGGGAGAGGGAAAGAAACGTCTCACAATGAGCCAAGCCAGCAGCTGCTTGCCTCCCTTTCCGACGAGCCAGCCAGGCTCATGACAACCCGAAGACTGATGGCGGGGCCACAGCTGCCTCGCAGGGTGCCTGCGGAAGGACAAGGTCTTCAAAGGGTGGCGAGAGAAGGACATCGGTGCCAAGGGTTTTTCTGAGAAGCGGTGAGGACTCTGACGGGAACTTGGGGTGGTGGCATGGGGGTGCCAATACACACAGAAAGAAGGAGAGGTTGCGTGGGCGGGGAGCGGGGAGGGGAGGTGCCTGCTTTCCACACTGCTGCTGGACAAGCGTGGTCTCCATCCTCGGGCTCCGGGCTCATCTGCGGCCTCTTCAGCACCTCCCAGAAGAGCCTCTGCAGCGCCTGCTCTGTGGACCGCAATGCAGCTGCTGCCTCCCCACCCCCCCACCCC